ACAACAACAACAACAACAACATTATTCACAATCACGATCACAACAACAACAAGAACCACCACCACAACAATAACATCATCATCACCAGCAGTAGCAGCGACGACATCCACAACGCCAATGGGCAAAGGCAACTGCCATGACAGTCAGTTTTATGCCACTCCTACTTTTACTACGACCATCGCCACAATTGCCAGCACCAGCACCAGTGGCACATGCGCCACCACCTTCTGCTCCTGCTGTTGGTGCTCCTGTCCCACCACGACTACCACCACAACTACACTGATTGCCACCACTGCCACAACTCAAAGCTCGGGAATTAAACTACCTGACACCATCGCGAGGCATCATCACCAGAAGAAGCCACCCCAAACCCCACATGCTATACGAAGCACCAAGAATACCACATGCTGCAAAGCAACATCCATGCTTGGCCCAGCTTGTCGCCGCTTTTTCCAAATGCCAATTGAGGGCTTTCGAGTTTCTGCTCCTAGTGAAAGGTACAAGCTGCGGCTACTTCATGCTTCGCCAACCAGGCGAAAGACATGAAAACAGGAGAGCATCGAATTTTGAGCCTTCCGGGCTCCGCAGACCAAACTCCTCTGCGATCAGCATGGCAGTGCGCGTGACGGTTCCCCAACGCAAGGGAGCTGGCCGGGGACCACATGCTGCACTGGAAAATCTGTCAAAAATTAGAGATAAAATAACGTCTCTTGACCGACATGTGGAGGCTGATTCTTGGATCAAGGGAAAGGACTGTACGACCCAGATCAGGCAGCACATGAAGGTGCAAAAAAAGAAGTTGCAAAAGAGGTTTAAAGATGTCTAAACGAACAGGACCTGCTGTCCTCAAATTGCCGCTTGTCTCTGCAAGCTGCCAAGCTAAGACAGGAAAAAATTATTGAGCAAAACAGCCAACAAAAGGTGCCCTGATGCCCCTGCTATTGCGAAGGGATCGGGAATAGAGAAATGGGGGGCGACGGCAGTACAAATGTCTATTAAACAGGATGGGCTTGGGAGATCTTGACGACTGGAGGAAGGGAAGGCCGTGTCTTTGTGCCCCATGGCTGCTCGCTCTTGGAAGCTGGCTTGTGAGCCCCTTCAGGGCTCTTTGCGCCTTTCGCATCGCACTTTCGGGTGATGGTGCTACTCAGCTGAAGCTTGTCAATGTCATCTCGGCCGGCTGGCAGATCCTCCCCTTTTTCCGGCACTGCAAACGGATGTTCCGAGGCTGCAATAGCTTCTTTGGGGGGCTCTTCTCTGGATGGCTGCGGGCACTTCTCCAGAGGAAGATGTAGCGGTAGGGGCGTGTCGCTCCATGCCAGCCTTTGCTTCTTCGGGCCGGACGACTTCTTCTGACACCCCTTCCAGAGGGCAATAGCGACGATGGCTGCAGAGCCCGAAAGCAATACCATGCTGCAGCACAGGATCACAAGGTCAACCAGGCCGTCTCGGGGCTCCACCTGGGAGTTGCGGAAAACAGCGGACCCCGCATCACCCTTAATCATAAGACGATCCTTACGCTAGAGCTTGTTACGCTTAAGCAGAGTTCCACTTAGCCCTGGTTGCTTCATCTACGCCTTCGGCTCTGAGGTTGGCGTCTCCTGCCCCGCGATCGTGAAGTTCTGGCCGCGGGGGGGCCTGAGCTTATCGGTCGAATGGCCCAGGCCACCAATGGGAATCTCTATGATCGGTACTGGCGGAGGGGGAGAAGGTTCCGGCGTGGTGGTCAGCAGTAGGCCGGTGCCCCGAGCTGAAGGTGGCCGAGGCTCGGCATTCTGACGAATCTCAATTTGGCTCTCGCTAAGACAGGCGCACCCGCACTGCGCAGTTGCGAAGGGGCCTCCATCGCAGTGAAAGCCGCAGGCCCAGTCATAGGCCTCGCCATTCGAGACATCCTGAAAGCCAGGCCGGCACCTCGGAGCGAAGCCTGTAGCTTGCAAGCCCCTGAGCTGGCTAAGCTCCGCAGCATGTACACATAGGATGCAAGACCACCAGCGGGTGCCCAGCATCTGAGGCACCCCAACACCCAAGCTTCCCGACTTGAGCCGCAAGACTCAAAGCAACAACAAAAGTACAATGTCCAACGACCAATCGCAAAGCTTTGGCCAAGCGCTCTTCCCTCGCTGCTGCTCAGCAGCGAGCTGCTAGTGCAGCGTTGACAGCATCGGCGGGCCGCTCGAAGATCCAAAGCTCAGCCTGCGACTCCCTTACCAGGGCTGAAGTCGTTCATGCAACCTCTCAAAATTTCTATAGTTGTATGCATTCATGCAAGGGATACACAGTGTCACTTTCTTACTGCGACTGTCTTTAACAACCTCACCTCTGCTGCCACGATGGTCGGCATTCATCATTCTCTCAACGCAGTATTCCCACTACGCGAATTGCCGCAGCAGGAGCAGCAGTAGTACTAGTAGTAAGAATAGCAATCGTCGTCGTCATAGCCGCCGTCGTCGTCGTCGTCGAGTCGTAGTAGCAGCAGCAGCAGCAGCAGGAGTAGCAGGAGCAGTAGCAGTAGCAGCAGTAGCAGCAACAGTAGCAGCAGCAGTCGGCGTAGGAGTAGGAGTAGGAGCAGGAGTAGAAATAGGAGTAGGAGTCGGAGGAATAGTAGTAGTCGTTGTTGTGGCAGTAGTTTAGTAGGAACAGGAGCAGCAGCAGGAGCAGCAGTAGTAGTAAGTAGTAGTAGTAGTA